ATAAGGCTTTTTTAAAAATGTTTATTTTCATCTACTTAAAAGACAGAGTGATAGAAAGAAAGGGAGAGAGAGAGAGAGATCCTTCATCCACACGTTCATTCCCCCTAAATGGCTGCAACAGCCAAGTCTGAGCCAGGCTAAAGCCAGGGGCCAGGAAGTCCACCCAGTTGCCCCTTGTGGGTTGAAGGGCCCCAGGCACTTCAGCCATCATCTCCTGCATCCCAGGATACATTAGAGAAGCTGGATTGGAAGCAGAATTGCAGGGCCTTAATCTGCTTCTCCACAACCTCTGGCTGCTCAATAGATTAGGGGAAGTGTAAGACAATAAACAAATTCATGAAAAAAAAGAATGGTTTTGTGCTGCATAAGGACCGTGGGCCTCAAAAGGAAGGAGTTGTGGAAGTCTCAGAACTGGAAGGATAAATCCTGGCAGCTCTTTGAAAGCAGGGACCCTGGATCATTTCTCCCTGTATCTACAACACACCACACAGGCAAGCATGCTTGGATGAGTGGGTTAGTAAGCGGGTGGACAAATCAAGAGGCGTGGGAGCAGGAAGCAAGAGCCGAATCAGTGCTTCCTCCACAGTTATTCTTTCTGCCCTGGTATCAACAAAGCAGCAAAAACATGGAGCAGTAATAGGAAGAAAGCTTTAGGGAAACAGATAAGCAATTTACCATCCCTGGCTCTTTGTCAGCCTAGTTAGGTTGCCCCTTCTTTCCTGTTTCTTTTCCTGTTTTCTGTTTAATCAGCCAGTCTAGCGATCAGTACACCTGAAGGACTTTACCTCTGCCCAGCTGCTCCCACAGTTGGGTAAAGGAAGGAATCCTTACAAAGGATTAGACAGGGTTGAAGACAGGTGAAAAATGTATCTAGCCACAAGCTTCTAAAACCCTCAAAAGTGTAATCCTGTCTCCCATATCCTTGGTGTCTCTGCCTATACTTCTAGTAATTCAGTGCTTACACCAAAGAAGTGCCTTTTATATGTTTGGTCAGGAGGTAAGAATGATCTGGGACACTTTGGTTTATGTGTCTCCCACAGTTAGTTTTCTGTGTCCCAGTTAGTGTTTAAAAGTATTCTTCAGCAGGTGATTTACAAGTCACGTACATTCTTAAGACTCGAATCTGAACGTCAATGAACTTTGGCTTCGACAGTTTCATTACACCCTAAACTCTTCCAAGACATACATTCTTCAGGGATTACAAACACAGTAGTCAAGTTCTCAAGCTATAGAAGCAAAGAAAGTATCTTCAGGTCACAAGTATTTAGCATTTTAATGTTTTGGTTCCAGAGCATGGGATAATACAAAACAACATATATTCCTTCTACAAAATACTTTGGAACCTTTGCCACTTTCTATTGAACTCCATGGAACTTTTCATTATTTCACAAAGTCCTGTACAGCTGTCATACTCAGAAGTATTCATTATTCTTTCAGATTTCACAGGTCTTAAGAATACGGTTGGATAAATTTATATAAATCTATACATTTGAGTAATCAGTACCCTAAAAGGTTAAGATTCAGAGCATTGCTAACTACTAGAGAGTTCCCTAATGTTCTTTTACAGTTTATACCCTTCTCCCTGGCAACTTCAGTTCTAATTTGTATCTCCAGGATTAGTTTTGCCTTTTCTTGAGCTTCACACAAATGGAATCCTGCACTGTGTTCTCTTGTGGTTGGCTCCTTTTGTTCAATGTGATTTTAAGAGTTGCACAAATTGTTGCAAGTATCAGTAGTAGTTCCTTTTTGTGATCGCTGGATAGCATTCAGATGTGTAAATGTACCACAGTGCGTTTACCCAGTATTAACATAGCTGTTAGCTGGATGCATGAAGATACTGCAATGAAAGAAAATGTAGCGATTCCCCTTCATTCAAATCTGTAACCCACACTTGACTTTTACTAATTTCTATATGCAGAGTTGAATCTGATTCTTAATCATTCAGCCCTCAAAGGCATGAGAGTATGGGAAAAACAGGAACCCCTTGAAAGTCTGACTCCAAGAGGAAAACACAAGGGAACAAGAGATAGGATGTGTTAGAAGTGATATGGTTAACAAGAACCAAAAAAAAACCAGGCTGTTGTCCAGGATTGTAGAAAGAATTAATACAGCCCAATCCCTCAATATTATTCCCCTCTTCTCTCAGCTGGTTCTCTTGGTCACTGGCTGAAGTCCCTTTTACTTTTAGACAATCCAAAGGCTTTCAGAAAGGATTTCACAAAGGATTCGAGAAAACTTTCCTTAGATGAATATTCTGAAGTGTGGCTCCAGTTCCAATTAGTATGACAGTGAAGACAGTGATGTTTATTAAAAAAAATACTAAATACTTTTCCTTAGCCCAAGTGAAGCACACATCAAAAGAGTAGGAAGGAAGCTTGGAGGAAGTGATGCAATTTGTTATGATCCCTCATCATCAAAATTTGACTGTATCCTGAGGAGAAGACTCATAGGTCCTACCACGTTTTCCTTTTTTTTTTTTTTTTTTTTGTGATTCTTCTCTCGAGGAGTTTATGACCTATTTGAAGAAAACACAGACAAATCTAGTCTAATCATGAGTGAGATCTAATCTAGTTTGCTCCAATTAATGAAAAAAAAATCACCATTCCAGCCAAGGAATATGGAATACACCATTAAAAAGAATAACATTATTCAGAAATTGTGAAGTTATTATTTTAAATGCTGTAGGTGAATAATGATTCCTAGTTAGAAATTAATTTTTGAGCCAAAGATTATTCTCAAGGTCATGCTTCAGCTAAAAAAGGGATTGCTAGTTACTTGAACCTCAACCTTTCAGTTGGCAGGATTTCCCCCAGTGAGCTCTCCATTCTCTGGTGGTTGTTTTGCAGGGTATAGCTCTTAAACAAGCTACCTATGTAATTGCCTAGAAAAAATGACAGATATCAATGATGCATGGAGCAGAGACTTGAAGAATCAAAGCACATAAAAAGTACAATCCGGGTTGGAAACACAGCATAGAGGTGCACCAGGCATACTCTTAACACAGGCAATGTCCTTAGCAGAAATCAACCCAATTTGAAAGAAGTAAAATTAAATTTTATTATAATAAAGTTTTCCTTCCGTTAGGAAAAAATGAAGATGCCATACATCACAACTGAAGCCCTGACATAGCTAATAAAATACAGTAACTATTGAACAAGAAAAGCAAACTTTCCATTACTATAAACTTTTGAATTTCTAATATCACTAGATTAACTATCATTATAGAACTAAATTTTTCTCCCTACAGAGAGTCTAAAAAGCAAGAACAAGAATTTGTCTTTATTTAAGATTTTCATTAGAAGATCTGTAAAATTATAATCACATTTAATGTTATTGGGAATAAAATGCTATGTGATGACATTCCATACCATTTCAAAACATTTCCTGATATTTTGAGCCAAGCTGAACTTATTACAGGAATATATCAAGTATTGCCCAGATTGTCTGTTTTCTCCCTTCGAAAACCACTGCATGTTTAATCAAAACTTAATATGTGTATTTTAGTATAAACATATAATTACTGGGATTTTTTTTTCCTCAGCCTCATTTCTCAGAATATACTCAATGAAAACCAGATACTCATGTTGGGATACAACCACGTATCTTGCCTCTGAATCTTGCTTCTGGGCCAGAACTGGGCCGAGCCACACATCTGCCCAGGCCAGCCACAGCCCACAGTGGTCAGCTTTCTTGCAATGAACTGCACTGTCAGGGTTTCCAGGGAAAGAGCACATCTAATCCTTGGATGATGTGCTCACAGGTGGGCAAGTGAGGGTGTCTGCCCTGTCACCAATGACCTGCCCATTCTTCTCCAACACTAGCAGCCCTGACCTCTTTTCCCCCATGCTGTGAGTCACCAACTGTTCTTCTAAAGGTAAGTCCGAATGTATGAACATGTTATCTTCCATAAAAACACCAAGTGGACTTGCTTTTCCATTATGCTTGACTCCGTACTAAAAGCTCTAGGAAGTGAGTGTAACATGAAGTCATTCCTTCCGTCTCAGCAGACAGATGGAGAGACATTCCAGTTCGTTTCCAGCCTTTTGTCTTTGGAGCATTTTTGGCATTTCCTTCAGGAAACTGGAGGTGATGACCTCAGGTTTCCGTAGTGAACACACTTCTGTTTCCCACAGTTAACCTTACCCAGAAATGACATCTACACTATTAGGTAAAGTTTATCTTCATGCCCCAACTGTGTCCTGTGCATATTCAATGACACTTGAAAGCACAAATGCTCGAAGTAACAATAGGACTGGAGACTCAAACACACCAAAATACTTTGATTTTCTCCCCAGCACGACAGTATCGAAACGAGAATTGACTATTAATATAACACTCTGATGCTTGCTGTGTGCTCTGGCTTTCATTTTATAGTTGGAGAAATTGAAAGCCAAGAGGGTTAAAGCTTTCCAATACTGTGAACTGAATTTTATTGCAGATAAAAGGTGCTGTGCTACACAGCCTACATTCTGCAACTTGCTTATCCTTTGACATTCCTTACTTCCATATTGTCCCAGAGAAGTCCAGACGGTGTCCAAAATAAATAAATAAAGCCAAGTTAATATTATTTCCTTTATCTATATCTTCATTCAGCATATTGATGAAGTGCCGAGAGTACACATTTTGGTTGATGAGTTCAAACTGAATATAATTTAAATTAGATTTACAATCACATTGGTGTATATTAGTTTATGACAGAATTCCTGTAGCTAATTTAGTTAGGTTTTACCTAATTATATTTACTTGCTAACAGGGTATTCAGAAAGTTGGTGGTTTTATCTCATTCTTTAGTACTCTTCAATGTTAACTCATTGAGGTTTCTCTTCCTGAAAAAGATACAGTGGTTTCTAAACAAACCACATCTTTTTCATGCCATAGTTTATCAAGGTGAAATCCTTTAAAGAAAAACAGAAGTTTGTACTTAGGTATGTTTCCAAAGATCCTTAAGGTCAAAGAGAATGTCTCAGTAATTGTTTTCAAAAATGCTCTTCACAAAGGGATCTTTAAAAAAATCAGTTTATTAATGTTTAAAAGTCGATAAAGCTATGTGCAAAATGATTCACAAAAGTCAGAAACCTATTAAATACTATTTTTTAAAAAAGACATTTCTTGGTTTAATTGCACTGAAAATCAAACTAAAGAGACAGTAATATATTTTTATTCTTTCTTTGTGACACTTATACACATCTTCAATTACTATCTAATGAACAACTGTACTGAAAAAGTTCTGGTGTTCCCTATCAGTTAAAGTAATGCTTTCAAGGGCACAAGAGGGTGGTATTTTCTTAAGAAATACACATTCAATGGTGTTAACACAGGTTAGAAAAATCCAATAAAAAGACATCTGCTGAAACAAATACATTCAAAAATCATGAAAAGTTCTTTTAACACAACAAAACACAACCATCTTGTTGGTTAAAATGAATCATGTAACACTCTGAAATAAACATCAACAAAAGTGCCAAAGACAGCTGTTGTATTTGTTAGACAAAGTCATTAAGAAATCTCTCTTGGTTTACAAAAGTTAACTCCCAGTCAGTTTTCACCTTGTTTTGCTTGCTTGTTTCTCCCATAGCACTAAGGCTCCTGGCTGATATCACTGAAAGTGGACTTCTTCGAGCGAATTACAGCCACAATGGACATGATGCGGGAACATTTCATTGTAAAGACGGTTTTGTTTTTCGTTGTTTTTTAAAGAATCAAAGTGACTTCAACCAAATTCCAAGAAACTGATCCAGCTCACATGGAAACTTTGGCCTCAGCATGTGAAATTGCTTTACATCTCCAACCAACTCCCTGCCTACCTACTCAACACAGCCTACCTGCTACAGATCATCAACAAATGGCCCTGGGGCCACCGCCTCAGCTCTGGCCAATACCAGGAGGCTAAGATACAAAGTAAAGGAGTTGGAGGAGGGGCGTGAAGGGGAAGGGAGGGAGGGATGTGCGGAGCATCCCGAAACAAGCAGAAGTGCACACGCTCACTCGGATTTGGAACTCAAGTGAAAGAAAACATCTTTCCAACACTCCAGACAGACGGACGCTTTCTCATGGGGACGTTAGTCTTTGAGGAGGGGCCAAAAGAACCCTTCGGGAGCTTGACAATGCTAGACCTTTGGCTCAGTGCAAAATCAAAGCTCCAGTGGGGAGGAAACAGACTCCAGGCCGGCCCGATCTCCACCCTTCCCAGTGCATTGTTCAGGGGAGCTACTGCTACCACAAACACGAGGCACCGCCACGATGCTGCGGTTTCCCCCCTCCTCCATCCCTCTGGCTCGCAGCAGCTCCTCCCTGGCAACAGTCGAGGCCCAGAGACGGTCCCCCTACCCCCACCCCCGACGCCGGGTGGTGGGCGACCATGTAACAGTGCTTCCCACGGGTTGGCAGCTGTCCGTTTTAGGAGGACGAGTTGACGTTGCCAGAAGACATGATGGTCTCGGGGTTGTCCCCATCGTCCTTCTGGGGGTGGGAGGAGTTGTCCGATTTACTGCGACTGAATTCCACGCCCGCGATGATGGGGCGCTTGAACTTGCCGGCCGAGTCTCCGCTGGGACACTTGCAGCAGGACATGATCCGGATGAAGGCCCGGCGCATCTCCTTGTTGGTCAGCGTGTAAATGATGGGGTTGGTGCCGGAGTTGAGCACAGCCAGCACCAGGAAGTACTCCGCTTTGAAGAGGATGTCGCAGGTCTTCACCTTGCAGCCCACGTCCAGCAGAAGCAGGATGAAGAGCGGGGCCCAGCAGGCGATGAAGACGCTCAGGACGATGATGACGGTCTTGAGCAGCGCCAGCGACTTCTCCGAGCTGCGGCTGGCCTTGGAAATGTTCTTGCGGAAGGTCAGCCGGCGGCTCCGAGTCCTGACCAGGGAGTAGATCCTGCAGTACAGGATGACGATGGAGAGCAGGAGCAGGGTGAAGACGGTGGTGCAGAAGAGGATATAGTGCTTGTGGTAGAGCGGCAACACGGTGGAGCAGCTGGACAGCGTGCTGATGCAGTTCCAGCCCATGATGGGCAGGCCACCCAGGATGAGCGAGATGACCCAGCAGGCGCTGATGAGCAGGAAGGAGCGGAAGCTGTTGCTGCCATTGTGCAGCTTCATCTTCAGCATGGTGATGTAGCGCTCGATGGCGATGGCCAGCAGGCTGAACACCGACGCAGAGAGCGCCACAAACATACTCCCTTCCCGCAGGAACCACTGCGCCGGCGTCAGCTTGTAGGTGGTGGCCCCCGACAAGAGCAGGTTGGCGGTGTAGGCCACTCCCGCCAACAGGTCTGAGAGGGCCAGGTTGCCAATAAAGTAGTACATGGGGCGGTGGAATTTCTTGGTTTTCCAAATGGTCAGCAAGACAAAGATGTTCTCCAGGATGATGAAGCAGCAGATGAGAATGAAAACCACCGAAGTCAGCTTAATGCCATTCTCCTTGTCCGCGCTGATGTTCAGCTTCCCCGTGTAATTGTAATGCCGCACGATGATATCGTAGTTGACATAGTCGGAGACCGAGTTGCGGAGGGCCTTGACCAGCGGGATGTTGGTGGGCCCCATGGTACCCGCTCTGTCTCCGCGCCACGAACCCGGGGAGCTCTTCTCCGGACGAGCGCTAGAGGGCGAGGCTGAGGCACGAGCTGTCACCCGCTGCCGGGGAGGTTCAGGGAGCAATCCAGGCTTTTTTGTGCAGCCTTGCCTTGCCTGGGGAGAGCCTCAGAAACCGCAGCCTGAAACAAGTCACAAAGAGGAAGGAGTCAGGCAGAAAGCCACAGCACACTGGTATAATTCATTCTGGCCAAGGCACTGCTCCAGTTTTGTTCTTGTTGATTTGGTTTAGGGAAACGTAGGGAGGGGAACTTTTTTGTTAAATAAATTTCTTGCAAAAAGGGGGGTGGGGCCGTTGGGGGTAGGGGCGAGGGGAAACAGAGGAAGAAAGCCCAAACATTTACCCAAGCTGAAAATTCCAAACAGAAGAGACGAAAACTCTCTCCCTATTGTCACAGCCGCTCAAATGGAAATGGGAAACCTGGGGTGCATGGCGGAAGGAGTAGGGGTGGGGAGGCGCCCCATTCGGACTCCACTCTCGCCTGCTCGCCCCACCCTCGACGCCCTGATTTCCATTCGGGAGATTCTCCGAAGCCGCCACCAGCTCAGCTGTGCGCTCACCACCAGCTCACGGCCTCTCCTCGGAAGACACTTAACCGCCAGCCACAGGGTGGAGACGCACACCTCTTCCCTTGCCCCACTTTACCCCCCACCCACGCCAAGCTCAAGGACGCAAGCACCACCTCCTAATTGCCATGCAAGAAATTAGATTTGCACGAAAATCATTTGACAGCGCAAGTCATTTTTTGGACTCTATTAATAACTCTCTAGGAGCAGGTGTGCTTAGGGTCGGAGGGCGCAGCGAGGTGTGGGCAGGCGGGTCCGCCCCATCTTGCGGTAAACAGGAAAGCTTAGCGCCTCCGTGAAGCAACTGCCTTTTCTACCTTCTTCTTTTTTTTCCCGCAAGTCAGTGCAAGTAAATTTAAAGGCGCTCAGTGCAAACCATTCATAAGAGATTGCAGCAAATCTCATAAGTTTTGCACATCGGTTGATTGCATAAATATTTTAGGGTTAGTATCACACGAGAGAGAGAAACAGAGGGGAGAGAGGGAGGGAGAGAGAGAGAGAGAGAAAGTTACAGGGCTAAAGATAACAACAGTTCATGCCACCGCATTCCTAATCTCCAATGCAAAAGCGCTCTCCAAAAAGGCGCCCACACAGACGTCTAGGGCATTGCTAAACTCGCCGGCGCAGCCTCATTTACGGCTGCCCTCCAACGCTCTGCCTCCTTTAAACACCCAGAAACTGAAGGGAATGACGCCCAGCAGCAATCTGCAAAAGTCTCTTTCAAGTTGGTTAAAAGTTTCAAGGTAAGGTTGCAAAGAAAAAGTGCAGTAAAGGCGGCGGGAGCGAAGCAGGCAGAGCTAGCTCGCGCCCAGAGGCTCCGCATTTCCATCTCATTCGACACCCCGCGCGCGGGCAGGACAAGTTTAAGTCATCGCCGTGTCCCGCATATTCTTTGTCTAAAGGCTTTCCAAAAATAAGCGCCTTCCCTGTCTTCCCACCAACCGCGGCGTCCGCTCGCCATTCCCACTCCCAGTCTGTTCGACTATTAGGAATTCGGAACTAGCCCTTTTCCAAACTCCAGGCACCAGCAGTACCGCCCCTCGCCCCCCGCGCCCGCGCCCCGAACAATCCGATGGAGCTGGGCTCCTGGGTAGCACCAGAGAGGAATCTTTTTCAAACTTTCCGTTGCCTTCGTTCGGGTTGAAAAATTCGTTTCTGACTCCTGCGCCATCTGGCCCGAGGGCCCCCCCCGGCGCCCCCGGCCCCCATGCGCGCCGCCCGCAACCCCGTACCTCGCTCAGGCGGGACGCAGCTGCGTTCGAAGAGCTCCGGCTCGGCGCGCCCCGCTCCTCATCTTGTTGCCGCCCGCAATGAGCTGCGTCGCGCCCTGGCAAACTTAACTCCAGTCGGGGTCCCCTCCCTGCGCAGCCGTGCACTCCAAAGGGTAGCCTGGCTGGCGTGGCCTGGCTCCCGGCTGCGTTCGCCTCGCAGCGCCGCGCGGAGGCAGAGTGGCTGCTGTAGGCAGAGGCGGGGAGGGGTTAATGCCCTAACCCCCCACGCCCTCCGTCGGCGGCTGAGGGCCCCCGGATCTGGGCTGCTGAGACAAACTGTCCAGGAAAGAACTGGGGCAGACGCAAAAAGAGAAAGAGAAAAAAAAAAAAAAAAAAAAAAAAAAAAAGCCCCCCCCCCCCCCAACCAGCAAAAAAAAAAAAAAAAAGCAGAAGGGGCGGAGCGTGGTGCCCCCTGGATTCTAATGTATAAATCTCTGCCTTCGCCCAGCGATCAGCCGCCGCTCTGCGCCCTGGAGAGGAGAGGAGGGCAAGAGCCCTAGAAACTTCTCTCCCGAAAAGTCTTATCCGAGGTCCCGTAGCGCACCTCCCGGCTCCCCCAGCCCGCAGCCCTGGGAGAATCAAATCTCCAGATCGGGGTCGGGCTACCCAGGGCCGCGTTCAGCGCCCACAGGGGAAACCGGAGCCTGGGCGAGGAGTGGCTGCGAAGGGGCTGCGAGGAGTGTGGAGCCGGCGAGTGGCCCGGGAGTGGAAAGAGCCTGAAGATTCCCCGACACCGCCGCCTCCCTGTGGAGATCCCAGTGCCGCCGAACCCCTTGCGGTCCGACCCGCACTTAGTGGCTTTCCCAGGGCGTCCAGTGAAAAAGGGACGAGCGCCGGGTCTAGTGTTGGGAGGGTGTTGCCCGCCCTCAGCTGGACGCACAGTGGGGCCGGGTGTCCCAGATTCCAGCCACTGGCGACGCCTTTGAGGAGGGGGCCCGCTGCCGGGTCCCAGATGATTTAGAAAGCCTGTGCAGCTCAGGAATTTCCAAAGGCAAGACCCGCCCAGCTCCGCCGACAGCCTGCAGTTGCCCAGCTTGAGACTGGCGTCCTTCTCTGTCTTTCTTCTTGGGGGGACAACGCGCAGCCCCCCCAAATCTCAATATTCCGGACCCATCCTGTTCTTTTGCTTAGATGCTAAGTAAGAACCTGGGGAGGAGAAGCAGCTGTGCACTGAATGTGCCTGGGGGGCAAGCTCCGTGCACTTGTGCCCCTGCCCGCCTGTCACCAAGGTTTCCACTCAGTCCCTGGTCTCACCGCCTTCCCCTGCAAAACTTCCCCCGCTGTGCAGTTTCAATTGATAGACACACCCTGTACCTGAATGACTCAGAAGGAGCTTGAACGAATAAACAACAGACCCCTGGCTTCTGAGATTTTATGAGCTTGCAAAAAGAGAGAGAGAAAGAGAGAGAGAAGCGACAGTTAACTTACAGCCGCCTTAAAGCCCTCATCAACGGCATTTGCACTCAACACAGTACCCACGCATTCAGTAACAGTACTCGCATACAGCATGGAAATCAAGATAACAGTACCGAAGACTCAAGAGGGGTTTGAGGGCTTCTTTCATTTACAAGGAGAGTTACACTGTGCCTACCTAGCACAACATAAAGTGAGCACTCTGCAATCCTAACTCCTCCCGACTAATATATGAGTTTTTCTTTTTTTTTTTCTTGGTGGATGAAAAAGTTTAACTTAATTGCCCAGCCAGACTGTATCAAGCTAGATTGTCTAATTTCACACAACTGTTCCGTGAAGCAAGCAAGCGTTGTTGGCCTTTTATAGAGGAGGGAGGCGTCACTCAGCTTAAGTGACCTGTGGATTTCACAACCACTGAGGGGCAGAGCTAGGTTCTACAACTTCAGCACAGCAGATGCCTTGTGACACCATCAATCAATAAGCAGTTCAGGAGTCAAAATGTACGTTCCCAAAAGGAACTGAAGTGGGAAATGTCAGGGAGATAGATTAAGTTCATAAGCTGGAGGCCACAGCTGCCCCACCCGCATATAATCTTATCGTCAATCAGATGACTCCTCCCCCAAATGCACCACCCTTTACTTGGGACCAGGGGGCAGTCCTGTGTAACCAAGCCCCTCTTCGAAGCTAATAAAAGCCCAGTGAAGGGGAGCACACGGCCTCTTTTTTTCTCTCTTCGCACCCCTTGGACCCAGGGTATGAATTCCCCTTTCATCTTTCCTAGCCCACTTTCCCTAAATGGAGCCATCTTGTGCCTGTGTATTCTTCTTACTTTCTAAATAAACCTTACCATGCTGCATGCTGTGCTTAGAATTCTTCCCTAAGTAAAAGGCAAGTACCTGAGATAGTAATTTTGACCCAACCTAGCCCACAACAGAATCAGAGCTCTTTTTGACTATCCATGTGCAGAAAATGTACGTTAAAGTAGGCTTGTAAATGTCCTTTTTAAATCACTTAATTCCCAACGACGTGTATGTACAATGTTTACACATACATTTATTAATGAGTATTTTTTAAAGATTTGGTTATTTATTTGAAAGAGAAAGTTACAGAGATGCAGAGGCAGAGAGAGAGGAGAAAGCGTCTATCCACTGGGTAGCTCCCCAAATGGCCACAGTGACCGGAGCTGTGCCGAAGCTGTGCTGATCCAAAGTCAGGAGCCAGGAGCATCTTCCAGGTCTCCCACACAGTGCAGGGGCCCAAGTACTAGGGTTTCCAGGCCATAGCAGAGAGCTGGATTGGAAGTGGAGCAGCCAGGACTCAAACTGGCACCCATATGGGATGCCAGCACTGCAGGCGGTGGCTTTACTCAATACACCCAGTGCTGGCCCCAATGAGTACTTTTTGAAACCTCTCAATGTTGGTATATAATATGGAATATAAAGTTTTACTCTTAATATTTGTGTACCAAATTTAAATGTTACCGATATTAATTCATTGAATTCCTACAGTAACCCTACAAGAGAGGTAGCATTATTATTTTTACAAACAAGGAAACTGAGCCCCAGACATATTCAGCAACTTGGTTGCTGTGGAACATGACCTTAGGCAGGTTGCAGACTCAACCACAACTCCAAACCACCAGATAAACCTCAAGCATGTCAAAGAATCATGTAGGGGAAATCAGTCCTTTTCGTATGAATACTCTTGGCGAAGATCATTCAATATTGATCCAATATTTTAAACGGCTCGAATACCTTGCTGACAATTACTTAGCAAGATTCATTCTTAGGACCCACCTATGAATTATAAAATGTGATAAATACTAAGCAAAATTAGAAAGTAGGCAAAGCTGTTTTTCCAGAAATATCTTCCTGCCCATTCCAAGGCTTTAGTTCCCATACAAGTCCCTTCCCATTGCTCTCAAGAGAGACCTTAAGAATTGCATCCTCTTGCTATCTCCTGGCTGCTAGCCCAATTCTTTTCTGCTACTCTGAAAGCCAAGTCTAGGGTCCCTACCTTAGTTCTCATCGCCCTGAGGTTGCCATCTGATACCGAACTCATTTTCAGGTTGCTCCATCCCAAATTTCTGACTTACGTGTGCATTAGCATTTCTCTTGAAGCGTTACCAGATAAAATGACATGCAATTCTTGGGCTACATACCAAAGAAAAACGTTGTGGTTAATCAGATTCACAGGGAACTGGTCAGCTGTTTTGTTATTTGCTAAATCTGTCAACTTTACTATTTTCTCATTGCTCCACTCACTTTCTAGCTCCCTCTCCTTGCTCCACTCAAGTCCCCATAAAGATCTAACCCTTCTTTTACACATGCATTAATAACTAGCCTCCTGCTTCACTGAGAAAACAGTATGCACCTCGAGTTCCCTCTTCTCTAAGTTCCAGCATCATAACTCCACCGACACTCACCCTCTTCCCACCTGTTTCGGAAGTAAAAGCCATTTTACTACTTAAAAACTCTTGCTCATATCGCCATGCTGCTTCCCCCCAATTTTCTAAGATTTGGCTTAATTATTACTTCAATCCTCATAGTTTCAATTCTTGGCCTCTGGTGACTTCAATTTACATGAATGTTTACATGTTTTCTTTACCAAAAACTCACTGTCCTTCTTCATCCTAGATCCCAATAACTCTTCTTCTGTTTGTCAACAGTAAAAGCATCAGTAAGCCTGGGGTTACTGATGTCGTGGGTTCAGCCTTAATACCGCCAGTTCCAAGCTTAATACCGCGAGTTCTGACTTCAGGAAAGTTCCTTTAGCTTACCTGAGCCTCAATTTCCTCCTCTCTAAAATGGGATCATGGTGTTTCAGTCATTGCGAGGATCAATGAGCTTCCTAAGTACAGAGTTATCTACAGAATGGAAAGAATTCTTTACCCTCGCGCCTCCTCGCTCTCTAACCTTGTTAGAATCGTTGCTTTCATCATCTTGTTCCCCACCTTTCCATTCACTTTCCTTTTTGATTTTCAAATACAATTATTTTTAAATCAAATTAATATATGACATCACTTTCAGAAGATCAAATAATACAAAACTTCCAAAGAGCATCAGTCAGTAGTGGCTTCCTGGTCTGTAATCCTCCCAATCATGGTGAGCCAGGACATTTGCTCTGGTAAAACTGGCAAATCTTTCAATTCCTCTGTTTCATAACTCTATTTCCTTACTATCAGTTTAGAAAATATCTATAGATTTTCTGCTATTTAAAGAGAACTAATCCATTTACTATTAAGCACGTTTGGGTTATAAACTTTATAAATTCTTGTATGTCTGATATTTCTAAGATTGTGTTCTTAAATTAGACTAATATTCTGGCTAGGTATCAAGTGACAGCTTGCA